ATTATATCTGAAACAAAACTATTTCCAATCATGTCAATGAACCTTGTTGCTGAACAATCAAAGATACTTGTCTCAAGGACGCTTGTTGCGAATTTCCATGAACCATAAATCAGCAAATTCAACATAAGTTAAATTTTTGGCTCAGGATCAGGAACAGTTTTGTTACCAAAAATTAATAATAACAACAGGGATTAAACCTTGTGCCGGCTACACCAGTGAATAGGCAGCTATCAGGTTGGTCAAAATGTGTTCATTTTGGCACGATAACACAAGAATACCATGTTGTCATTGTTATTTGCAAGTCAACGATCTGTGGCCCGTTTCAGGGCTGACTAAACTCAAGCAACTTAAGGTAATTCATTAAGAATTCGAAGTTAAGACAGAGAGCGAGTTCTCTGGTGTTCGAATTGTCACTGTGCCAAAGCACCTTTAACCTCCATTATGCAAAATTTTATCATGAATTCTAACAGTCAGAATCTGAGACTATGGAATTAATCACACAAGTTTCGCGGAAACAAACTACTGTTTCACGTCGAGTGCTAGTTAAATGCGAATTTCGGATGCTAGAATTATCAATGAATACACAACGAACATTTCAAAGTACATGGCGCATAATGGTGCCAATGCAGAACATCAGTGTGCCAAACAATTACAGCAAAACTTTGTAGAACAAACAAACTGTGTTCACAAACGTACTGCCGTAAGTAGGGCATCCCAACATTCTCAGTCTAAAAGGCTGTCCAAATCACTTTTCTGTGGCAATTCATTCATTCGCTCAAACATTCATCTGTTCAAAAACAGCATAATCACCCTACCTATGAGTACGAGAGCGACGGTGAGGACGAACGTAAGGACGTATGCGCGACGAGGCTCTTCGTCCTTGCCGAATCCCTTTGCGAACCAAGAGATGTATGGGAAAAGATTGTCTTTACAAACCGCCTGAAAGCTAAACCTTTAAGTAAACCGCTGTTTAACCACGCCACGACGTCAAGTAGTCCAGGTACCTGAAAGACCTTCGGGGCAGCAACGAATCCGGCCAAAGCGGAACTCAGCGTGGCAGCCAAAATGCCAGCGGTGATCAGCGGACCCCAAGCGCCTTCCAGTTCCAAAATCTGAACAAATTAAGGTCAAAGAGGTCGGTTCATGCAGAGAAAAAAACGAAGATTAACCTGGTAGTAGTGAATCAGGCCGTATGGACAGTTTTCGGTTGAGTTACATACGAGAGTGCCGTTGAACAGATCGAACACATTCCCCGTCGCATCCCTAAAGACGCTATGTAAATCAAATGATAATTCTGAATGACCTATATTCATTTCATACACAGGTATTAAAGAGTAAAGACCAAACAAGTTACTGGTACTAATTTGAATGTTATTACCGCTTGAACAGAAGCCATTAGGCGACACGGTCGGCGGATACAATTGC